CGAATAACTCGGTAAAAAGAATATTGTACAACGATTACAAAAAAAATAAATCAAAGGTAAAATTTTAATCTTTCGATAGCTCTAAACTGCATTTTTACAGAATTTTTAATTCGCGCCACGCAACCTTACAAATTTCGTATAAAATCTTAAGATATGAGACATATTCATTTCTGTTGGTGTAACTTAATAAAACGTCGGTAAGACAGTTTGTTAAATAATTGTTCTGGAAGGATACAGATTTCAAGCTATAAAATGCTTTTTTTAACATCTCGATACAATAATTTTTGACGAAGTTGTTCTATCTCAAAGTTTGACCATTTTTGCAGGGTAAGGCAGATAATGCTTTAACTTTGTTGAGTAGTGCATTCATACAGTATTAACACCAACACGGTAAAAATTAGTGATCACTATACTAATATTAATATTAACATGGTGTAGATTTATATTCCTTGGTGTTGTATCAACACTGCTAGTGTCGAAGGTTATATCCACATCATGTTAGCATTAATAAAACAACATCTTACAATTAAATGTTACCTCTAATAAGCTAATATTTTGTTAAGTGTTACTTTTGGTTATAACCGTTAAGTGTTACTTTTAGTTATAAATGTTAATTTTAATTATACCGATATTATAATAATAATTTACCTTGAATAGGAAATCCACATAGACCATTAGTAGTGTTGATGGCATTTCTACAAAATTTTAATACTTCCAATACTTTTTCACTTTGCGCAAACTGTTTCTCCTCAGCCCAAAAAGTGATTTTGAGATTACTGCTAAAATATCTATCATCTATTGTCTTTAATGAACCCGCCATAATGATTATTGTATATGATGGCATCGGATTCGTTTCATAAAATATGTGACTGTCACTGTTTTCCAAAAGTATTGTACTTTTACGTTGATAACCACCCACTATAACTCTGATTCCTACAGGTACAGAAATCTAGAAAAAAATATTAATTTAATAAAAACTAAATATGATGACCTCTGTATACAATTAAATAATAATTGATGAACAAATAAAACTTTTATGTTAAAAAATGGAATAAATTTAATAAAGTCAGTCATTACAAATTAGTCACTATTCACACCACAGATTATATTATATTCACGTTTTTAATCTATAGATGCTGTCGAAATTCTAGAAGAAGAGCCATACCTACGTAAAAGATTATTTTCTGAAATACTCTTCATTAAGAAACAAACGAATTGAATTCACAAAGACACGGAATGTCGACAAAGCTTATTTACTGATCATTAACAATGTATAAAGTTGCTACATTAGACAGTATATTGTTGCTCTTTTGATGCTATACAACTTTTATAATTAAATTATTTTCATATTTCTAGAAATAGTAAAAATATTCCAGGTGAACAAAGTTCCTGTTCCATCCTGAACAGGCACTTT